AAACATATAAAGAATTTTTAAAAATCAGACCCCCAAAATTCAAAGACCCAATCCAAAAATGGGCATCTGAGATGAATACACAGTTCTCAGATGAAGAAAAACAAATGGCAAATAAATACATGAAAAATGTTCACCATCATTGTTCATTAGAGAAATGAAATTAAAACAACACTGAGATTTAATCTCACTCCAGAAAGTATGGCCAGGATCAAGAAAACTACCACCAACAAATGCTGGAGTGGCTGTGGGGAAAAAGGAACTCGCCTGCACTGTTGGTGGGAGTGTAGACTGGTGCACCCACTGTGGAGGTCAGTCTGGAGACTCCTAAAAAAGCTGGGATTGGAAGTCCCATTTGACCCAGCTATTCCACTTCTAGGCATATTCCCAGAAAAACTGAAAACATCATACCACAGTGATATATATGAACTCATGTTTATAGTAGCACAATTTGTAATTGCCAGATCTTGGAAACAACCTAAGTGTCCATCAACTGAGGAATGGATAAAAAGATGTGGTATTTTTATACAATGGAGTACTACTCAGCTATAAAGAAGGATCGCATTGAGATACTTATCAATAAATGGACACAACTTGAGACCATACTCATAAGTGAAATAAATCAAAATCACATGTATAAATACTGTAGAGTCCCTAGTGTAAGAAATGGTAAGAGTACATAAGAGTTTATGGTAATCATGATTCCCCATTACATTGCTTTGAAGCCTTACAATGTTTGCATTCATTAGTTGGAATGGTTTTATTCTGGTTTGTTTGATTTTATTATCTGTGATAATATGAACAGCTATTTTGAAGAAAACAAGACATTACAGTAGCCAGTGCTGATTTAATATCATCTTACTCTGAAGTCCTACCATGCTTTTGTCCTGTTTCCATTGGTTCTATCATATTGTATCTTATTGTATTTTATTATGTGTGATAGTATAAACAAATTTTCTATGGAAAATGAGATAATATAGTAGCCATTGTTCGTTCTCTTTTATTTGGTTCTGAATGCCCTGCAATACTTTCATTTTCTTGAATGATTTTATACTATTGTGTTATTTTTTGATATTACTGCATATGAAGTTATGCTCAACTATTTCAAAGATAAGAGACATTATGGTAGTTAACTGCTAATTACAGATTATCTTGTGGTGAAATACTGTGTTGCTTATGTTGTTCTGGTCTGATCTGCTTTGTTATGTCCTCTTTTGTCTTCATCTCTTTAAAATAAAGAAAGTTTAAAAAAAGAGAACAATATTGGAATCCAAAAACAAAGCAGAAGGAAATCCCCATGGTTGCTATATTGCATAGTGTTATCCTCTTGATAGATGCTCAGACTATTGGCTTCATGCCTACAAAGTCAACCAAACAAAAAAAGCATTAAGTTTTTTTTGTATCTCAGTTGCTATCAATAGCCTTTGATCCTCTGAATCAACCAGCTGCTTACGTGGGTGGGATGAGGTTCTTGTCTCCCAGTCTGTGAGCTGGCTAGCTCAAAGGAAAGGTGAATTGGCTTCTTGTTTCTCTTCCTGGTCCTGCATGGCTGCTGCTGGCTCATGGGAAGGGCAAATTGGTTTCTTGTTTCACCTCCTGGGCCCACATGGCTTCAACTGGCTCATGGGAAGGGTGAATTGGTTTCTTGTTTTTCCTCCTGGGTCTCCATGGCTGCCATCAGCTCACAAGAAGGATGAATTGGCTTGTTGCTACTCCTCTTGGTCCTGCTTGGCTGCTGCTGGCACACAGAAAGGGCAAATTGCCTTCTTGTTTTTTTTCCTAGGACCTGCATGGCTGCTGCTGGCTCATGGGAAAGGCAAATTGATTTCTTGTTTTGCCTCCCAGGCCTGCATGGCTTCAGCTGGCTCATGTGAAAGGTGAATTTACTTCTTGTTTCTCTTCTTGACCCTGTAAAGCCACTGCTGACTCATGGGAAGGATGGATTGGCTATTTGTTCCTCTTCCTGCCCTGTGTGGCTGCTGTTGGCTCAGGGGAAGGGCAAATTGGCTTCTTGTTTCACCTCCCAGGCCTGCATGGCTTCAGCTGGCTCATGAGAAGGGTGAACTGGCTTTTTGTTTCTCTTCCTGGCTCTATATGGCTGCTGATGGTTCATGGGATGGGCAAATCGGGTTCTTATTTTCCTCCCAAGCCCCACATGACTACTGCCAAATCATGGGCATGGTGAATTGGCTTCTTATTTCTCCTACTGGGCCAGCATGGCTGCCACTTGCTCACAGGAAGAGTAAATTTACTTCTTGTTTCTCTTCCTGGACCCCACATAGCTGCTACTGACTCACGGGAAGGGTGAATTGGCTTTTTATTTCTCCTCCTGTGTCTGCATGGCTACTGCCAGCTCACAGGAAGGGTGAATTGACTTGTTGCTTTCTCCTAATGGGTACCACGTGGCTATTGCTGGCTCACTGGAAGAGTGAATCATGGACAACTTATTTTCAACAAAGATGTCAGGAACACACACTGGGAGAGGACATCTTTAATAAGTGGTGTTGAGACAACTTGATGTGCACATGCAGAAGAACAAAATTTGACTTATATCTCACCCCATATCCAAAAGAATTAGCTAAAATAGATTAAAGACTTAAATATAACATCTAAAACAGTAAACCTAAAGCAAACAAAGGGGAAAAGTTTTTGTCATGGGTCTTGGCAAAAATTTTTTTGGATGCAATCTCTGAAGTACAGGCAACAAAGCCAAAATAGACAAATGGGACTGTATCAACTAAAAAAATTATGCACAACAAAGGAAACAGTTAGCAGTGAACAGAAACACACAAAATAGAAGAAAATATTGGCAAGCCATAAAGGGTTAATATCCAAAATATGTAAGGAACTCACAACTCCATAGTGATTAAACAAAAATAAGCCGATTAAAAATAGGCAAAGACCTGAATAGACATACAAATGACCAGCAGGCATATGAAAAAATGCTCAGTCTCACTAACTGTCAGAGAAATGCAATTAAAACCACAATGAGCTATCACTTCTCACTTGTTAGAATAGCTTTTTTAAAAAAGGAAAAATAACAAAAAAATACAAAAGAAAGATATTGTTGAAAATAGAACACTTGTATACCATTGATGGGCAATGCAAATTACTAAACTCATAGGAAATACAAGATAGAATTTTTTTAAAAAAGCACAAATAAAACTACCATGTGATCTAGTAATTTTACTTCTACATATAGATCCAAAGGAAAATAAGACAATATGTTAAGAAGACATCTGCATTCTTATCATCATTGCAGTATCATAGTGAAGATATGCATTCAATCTAAGTGTCTATCATCAGATAAATAGATACAATATTTGGTATATATACACAGTAGAGTACTATTTGGCTTTAGAATAGGAATCCTGTAATTTGCAAAAAAGAGACAAATCTATAGGACGTTATGCTAGTTGAAATAAACCAGCTAAAAAGAGACAAATTCTATCATGATCTCAATCATATCTAAGAAAGAAGTTGAATTCACAGGAACAGGTAATGACACATATCATGAGGGTATGGGACTGGGAAAATGTTAGTTAAAGACTACAAAATTTCAGTTAGACGGGAGAAATAAAATTTAGGATATCTACTTTGCAACATGCAATTATAGTTAACAACAATTTGTATACTTGAATATTGCAAAATTGACATTTTTTTAATACCAAAGAAATTTCTCTTGAGGAAGGGAGGAACTATAAGAATGAGGTAGATTTAGATTGTAGATTTTAATTGTCCTCACCACAAAGAATCAAGTATGTAAGTTACTGGGTGTGTTCCTGGTTGATTTGAATGTTCCACAAATTATAAATATATATAGAAACATCATGTTGCACACCATATGCATATATACATACATATATACATATTGGTACTCATACACTTTTTACTTGTTAAAAATGATCACTCAACATGGTGTTTTATGCTAGGCAGAATAAACTTTTAATTTATGGTAGAAAATGGCCATTATTTCCTTATAAAAGGAGATGTCTCATAACTTTATACTTTCAAGTTTTGTTTCCAAAAAGGGTTTTAACTTTTGCATACTAAATATCATGAGTTTCTCCTCAGTCATGTAGCTCAGTGGTCCTTATCATTTTTACCTTTCTGTCCTTTTGATCACCTAACATGAACTTACTTCGTGGACATGCTTTTTCTTCGCAAATAGTATGTCTGAGTGGCAAATCCATAATCTGGACTTAACAGCAAAATATGCTTAATATATAAAGTTGAAGTTTTCTACCTAGCTAGTTCTTACTTTTCCTATAAGAGGCAGATTAAGTGTTAGATCTCCTACAAAGTCTCCTTTAAACCTCCATGCCAGGATGTGTGGCTGTTTCCTGAATTTCCCTGGTGTGGTCAGCACATAGCTCTATCATTGCATTTAGCACATTGTATTTCAATTTGCTGTGTGGAAGTCTGTGTCCTGCTTCAGGTATGAGTTCACTGGGATTAGGACTCAGATCAAACCTTAGTCATTTTTTAGTATCTCAGTAATTAAATGTCTTCCATTCACATTTGTTAAACTCAACTGCAGTATGTAACGTTTAATACCACGTCCCAGGTTCAAAGACCAAGTAATCAAAGTAGTGAGAATGGGAGAGGGAATCCACTGGGGGCTTTAAAGGATGCTGTTGCTTACTCTGTTCTCTCAGAAGAGAAGCTCCCCTTGGCCATGTCATTCGAGCTCTACCTATAAGCCTCAGGTCAAGCTCTTGTTTTCAGTGTGCCATAGTTTGGGTGAAGGAATGACGCCAGACATTTTGCACATTACTGTACAGAAAAACACTGTCAGGTAATTTCTGAATCAGTGAACTTAGTTGCATAATGCAAGGGACTAATTTGGGGTCTTCTTGAAGAAAGCAGAAAAACAACTTCCTCATCTGCTTCCACACACATCGGCCTTCAGGGAGTGTGATAGCTAAGATACAGGGAGCAAAAATAAAAGCAAAATCCCAGGAGGACAACTAAGATGAAATGTTTAAGGTTGTAGATCTTACCAGTGGATGGAGGACCCCTCCCCTAGGGTGCTCCTGATCTCCTCCCGACATCGCTCCTGATGCTCAGGGTGCAGAGCTAGGCAGTAGAGAAGCCAAGAGAGGCTCGCTGCAGAGGCATCATGCCCTGCCAACATGAACGTGCTCACCTCAGCCTGCAGGTCAGCATCAGGAAAGCTGTCTTCACTTTCAGCCTAGAAAGTCCAATAATGGTAAGCTCATGAAATACCACTTTGGAGACCAGTGAAAATAATGGCTAGAGGGGAGACAACTGGAGTTTCCATAAGGGTTTCAATTTTAATTCAGTTCAACAAATATATGAAACTAGTCAGACTTTGCCTAGAGCATATAGAAGAACTAATAATGTTAGATAAGAAGCAGGCATCAGGTCCCAGACATTTCCTTCAAATTCTGTTTTGTCCAGATTTTTCAACACCTCCTCCACCTCCTCATTCTCATGTGATTTGGTTTTATGTGATTTCCTAAACACATACCTACATGATGATTTCAAATCCTGCCAAGTAAATAATTCAGCAGAATTGAAGAATTTGATTTACCACAAACTGTAGAGTCAACCTCTCAACTCAAAGCACTGTACTGTTGGATTAGTTGATCAGTTTTGCTTTTGTCTCCCCTCCACCTTCATAATTGGCTGTTCGTACAAGCTCATATATTTGGAAGACTTGCCTGGGCACTAAGGATAATATCCAGAATATCCTGGTATTTCTTCTGAGTGGTACCTTGTTTTGTTTCAGACTTGAGAGATTTCTTTTTGTCCTGGATTACCTTTTCTGGGTAGAATAATACCTTCATATTAGCAAGTGATAATATAGTCAAATAAATTATGAAGCCAGTCCAGAGTTATATAGAGGCTCAAACTTTATTCCTTTCAGAGGCCAGAGTGGATATATTACATCTAAATAGATTCAGTTTTCAAAGAATGATATATCTTTCCATTAAATGGGCAACTTTTGATCAAAATTCCAAAGTCAAATGCAACAGACCAAAAACCATAACTTATATTAGTATGTGATATAATGAAGATGATTTCAAATGTATATGCAAGAGATCATTTTTTCTTCTTCAGCCTGAAGTCTTCTTTATGGAAGTTATCAACAAAAGGGAATATAGCCCCAAAAATGTATAAGTGAAGTGTCTGAGATGAAACATATGGAATGGAATTAATAAAACCATAATCCATGAAATCTTCCTGAATTTAGGGAAAATTTAAATTTATGTAATAGAATCTATCCTATGCCTGAAGAATTTGGAACAGAATAATCAATTTCAATAAATATCCAATGGCTAATTTCAATAAAACTATCCGACAAGGATTCAAGTTGTATTTCACTTGAGCATTAACAAAATCTTCATTAAGAACAAGAATACTTCTGTGCTCACAGTGAGACTATGCCTCTACATAGATATAATGCAGTCATCACAGGTACGGACTTGGGCACCCCAAACCTGAGAAATACCTGTGTATTGATGTAGCACTTTGCTCAACTCCTGGAAGCGCTGGCCCTTAGGGCTGAATTTAAAAATTAAGTCATGGTGATTCCAGAAGTTGTATAAGCGATAAAATATAATTTTGCTGAGTTCAGTTGTTGCTTTCAAATAAGGATCATAGGTACTAGAAAGACAAGTTGGGACAATGTGTTAACAATGAAGTATTGTTAAAAAAAATATATATATATATATGTATATTTAGTTTCTTGTTACTGACCCATTTATCTGGCAGTTGGTCTCTTGACTAAATGCACATTGCATGATGATGTCCAGGGCCATCATGCTGATGTCCTCGTAAACCTCCACAGCTGTGTCCTGAGTGCCACAGATCTTCTCCCACTTAGCCTGGAAGAGGGGGGTCATAATCAACATCATCATCATTATAAAACTGCCCTTCAGTGTGTGTTCCTTCCTGTCACTTTCCTTAGCATCCAAGGGACACAACCTGATCCTACAGGAATTCCAGATCAGTGAGTGAGCTGTGTGCTCACTTTGGGCACAAGGCAGAGAAACATGCACTCAGCTGAGTGAGGAAGAGCACGGAGCAAACTGCACATCTGGCCAGTGGCCTTTCGATTATTATCCTAACTCAGCTTCCAAATAAACCAGAGTTCCAGAAAGCTACTCGTCTCAGTACAAGTCCAATAGTTATAAGGGGTTTCCTCAGGGCTTTCTCCACCTCAAATACCCAACCTGCTGGATACCCCACCATTATCCTCTGCCTAGTTTTTCAATTTTTATTTTTTATTAGTATATGTTTGCAATAGATAATGATCACATTACCCCAGGGGTATTGGTATATGTACATAACATATCTCATTTTTTAAAAAATCCTTTTGCCCTCTGCTTTTCTCTCCCTCTGTTGCTTGGTTGCTTTCCCATTTTTTTTTGGTCCCTTTCCCATTTGTAAAAGATCTATTTCCCTATTTGCTATTATCTATCTTTTATTTTGCTCTTTATATTGTTTGGTTTCTCATATATGAAAACCCATGAGGTATTTAAGCTTGGGTATCTGATTTATTTCACTTAACATTATGGTCTCAATCTGCAAATGACTCAAGTCTATTTTTCTTTATGGCAGAGAAATACTTCATATTGTGTAAATACCACATTCTCTTTATCCTCTTATCTGTTAATGGACACGTGGGCTGCCTCCAAAATTTAGCCATTGTGAATTGTGTTGTTATAAACATGGGTATGCATGTATCACTGTAACACAATGTCTTTAATTCTTTTGGGTAGATACCTAGAAGGAGAATAGCTGGATCAAATGGGACTTCTGGTTTTTGCTTTTGAGGAATCTTCACACTGATGTCTGTCACAGTGGCAATAGGTTTATACTACCACCAACCATGTGAAAGAGTTCCTTTTTCCTGTAGCTTCTCTTATATTTGTTATTATTTTATTTCTTGATGATGGACATTCTTTCTGGAGTAAAATGGGATCTCAATAGTTTTAATTTGCATTTCTGTAATGTCTAGCGATGTTTAACATTTTTTCATGTATTTATTGTCCATTTGTATTTCTAATTCAGTGAAGTGTCTATTCATTTCTGTTGCCCTTGTTTGGTTGGGTCTTTTACTTTGTCAGGGGGAGAGTCTAATCTTTTGAGTTGTTTATATATTCTAATTATTAGTCTTTTGAAGAACAGTTGGCAACATTTTTCTCATTCAGTAGGTTGTCTCTACTTTGTTGGTTGTTTCCTTTGCTGTGCTGAAGCTTTTCAATTTAATGATCCCATTTGTTGATTCTTGCTGCTATTTTTGATGCAATTATACTCTGCCACTATGCTTCACTGTAACTACACTTAAAATAGAACTGGAACATTTTCAAAAAACATTTTAGGTTCAGAAAGTGAATCTAGGGAGGGGAGTTGCTGTAAGTGGCTCCTAGCCAACTCTATCCTGTGCCCACCCAACTAGGCCATAGAAAGAAACCCGCTCACACCATCAGAAATGCTTTGCCTGACTTCCCTAAACAGCTATAAAGTTTACAGTCGTAAATGTATCTGCTACCATAAGCATTCTTGGTATAAAACTGAAAATCAATTGAAATGTGCATTTTCAGTTTAACATACATTCATTAAGCACTAAGATAGATAAAGACTTGGACATATAACAAAAGGCATAAAGAATCTGGAAAGCTTTTATCTAAATGTCAGTTTAGTTAGATAGCTTGCATCTGAATTAGGTACTTTTTAAAAAGTTATTTTGGGGCCAGTTGTTGTGGCATACGCCTGTAATTCCAACTCTTGGAAGGCTGAGGCAAGAGGAGTGCTGTGAGTTTGAGGCCAGCCTGGGCTACATAAGCAAGTTCAAGGCCAACATAAAGTACATAGTGAGACCTCACTTCAAAAAATATTATTTTTCATTAACATAAATCCAGTTGTATATATCAGTGGGTCTCAGTGTGATATTTTTTTTTTTTTGTCTTTTTTTTCATTTTTATCGGTACCAGGGATCGAACTCACGACCGCCTGCTACCAAGGCAGGTGCTTATGCCACTGAGCTAAATCCCCAGCCCCTCGGTGTGATATTTCAACAAGTGTATGCAGCAGACACTGATCAATACAAAAGGTAAGGTTTGAAGAAGTGAGAGGGGCAGGCTTCAGAGTGAGAGGCATTCTGGAAACATTCAATGGAGAAAGAAAATATGAGGCACAAAAGGTAATGGGGGCTGAGGAGTTAGGACAGAAGTGGTACCTAGAAATGGAGATAAACTCAGACACAGCCACTGGCAGATTTGAAATTGTGCTGAGTGCTAAGCAGCACCAGAATTGGATAGAAGACTCTACTCTGTGCCTGGTGCTCTCTGGGTCTCTTCTCCAGGAACTGACACTCTTGTTTTTGGCATAAACACAGCAGGCTTCTGGTTAAGTCTACTTTGTGAGCTTGATTTGGAACCCAGCTAATAAGCTGATTAACAGTGATTCTTTAAAAAAGAGTTTATGATGAAACTGTACTAATACCTTTTTTGTTTGATTTTTCAAGAAATACAATTTTAAAATTGAAACCATTTATAAATCAGAGACTTCCCACAGGAATGTTCTTCTGCAACACCCTCCTATCCCTTCAGAAAATGCAGGTGACCTCCTGATATCTTTACCTCCTACAAGAAGAAACACATCTGCAACTTTAAGAGAGACACTCATTCTTTGTCTACTCCTTTGTAGGTATTGGACAAGTCCTTCCCAACATCCAAACTTTTGGCCATGCAGAGTCACTCTTTCTACAATTCTTTTGTCCATTTTATCTATGCGTTTACGCCTAGATTATATTTCATGGAAACTTGAGACTCCTCTGCAGTCAGAAGCTACTATAGCTGCTCTTGGCTTCCATGTCTGTCACTCACAGCACTTACTGCTGGAATATCACCACTTGGAGTCTGGTCTACTGCCATACACTTTCAGATAATACCTAAGGCAGTGGACTGGAACTTCTTATTCTTTTAATCATCTTAAGAACATAGCAAAGGCTTACATAAACATCTATTGTTCAACAGATAATTATATATTATTCCTAGAAATCAACTTTTGTTTTTCACTATCCACTAAATGTACACTTAATTTGTTCCATGTTGGAGTGAATTAAGCCCAACATCAGTACACCAGAGCTCCACTTCCCCACTTCACTTACCAGCATTGTGTTCACAGAATGGGCCATCACCTCAACGTATGTTTTCAGTATATCACACTGTAATCCAGGAGTTAGTAGGCGACGATGCTGGAACCACTTGGGCCCATCTAGACTCAGGAGTCCTTTTCCTTCAGAGACAAAGACATGAAACCTCATACCATTTTATTAGAAAAGAGTTGATGAGACAGCATGGAGTGACCAAGAATAGGTGATTAATGGAATATCAAAGTGGTGATCATAGATTCAGACAGTGGTGAGTTTTAATGCTTGTGTCTGGAATGAATATATTTGACACTGTGAAAAAGAATTTCAAAGTCTGAAAGTCCCAAAGGACCAGCAATTGCCTGTGAAGTAATTAAGAAAGTTTCTTAACCTTTCTGAGCTTAATTTTCCTCAACAATGGAATACATGTATATCTACTCCATTGTGCTGTGTAGATTAAATGAAAATACATAGTAAGATTCCAAATTGATGGTAGCCATTTTGGATTCACTATTATCTAGTTTTGAAATCCTATGTTGCATTCATTGTTTGATTTTTATTTGTTCTGTTCTGTTCCATTTTGTTTGATTTTATTATACTTGAAGGTATGGGCAGCTATTCTGAAGACAAGAGACATTATGGTAGGCATTGTTGATTTCTTATTATCTTGTTTTGAAATCCTGTATCATTTATATTGTATTGTTTTGATTAGCTTTATTCTTTAAAATAAAAAATACAAGAAAAAAAGATTCCAAGTTGAGTCCCTCTCTAGCTGGTAGAATTGTGACAAATTATCATGCCCTTTCCACTGCAAGCCAATGCATGACTTATATACTGTGGACACAAATTCACCAGGAACTAGACATTCAGTACATAGACAGCTCCTCCTTCAGCCCTGGTCTGTGAATGGCACAACATCGAAACATTTACCAAGACTAATAAATAAGAGTCTTCCATTTTTAGAGTGATCATTAAGGATCCAATTTTCAAAGGACTTTAAAGTTTGAATAATATCAAATGTCAAGGTCATGATACATGGTCTGGAACTAGTATCTGGTACAATGCCAGTCAATACGTTAAATGCTAAAAAAATGTGTTTCCTTTAATCCTCACAACATCCACAACACTGACTTTCACTTTATTTTCAGAGAAGAAGAAACTGAGATGCAGGAAGATTAAATCATTCCAGTACAATCACATTCAACTAGTCTGTTGGAGTGGTAGACAGGATTGAAATTTAATGGCTCTGAATCTAAAGCCTTTCATTTAATCCTTTCCTGCTTTAACATACATACCAGTGTATGACTAAAAAGCTTAATTTCCCTGCTCAAAGAATATTGTCAAACTGTACGTCTGAGTATAATATCACTGATTTGCATATGGCAATCAGAAAGCTACAAAAAGAAAGAAAAAAATTCAACAAAGAGGTGAAAGAATAAAAACAGGAGGGGGCTGGTAAGGTTGTGATTACAAAGAAAGACAAGGGATTTTCGCATATATGTTACCTTTAAAATGAGCCTGGGAGAGAAACGAATGAGAAAGCCTTCCAGACAATGCTGAGCTGACCTTTGAGCTCCTATTTGACTTCTTACCAGCTAACTCTCATTAGAGATCTTCCTTATTTATTTATTTGGTCTTTTTGAGACAGAGTTTTGCTACACAGTTCAGGCAGACCTTGAACTCACCTTGTAGTGCAGGCTGGTCACAAGCTTTCAAAGATCATCTTGCCTCAGCCTCCTGAGTTCTAGAATTACAGGCATGTGCCAACATGGCTGAGTTGGATCTACCTTATTCTTAATGTTGGAGCTCAGGTTTTGAGTCTCTGCATTTTACTATTTTTAAAAATATTTTAAAGTTTTGTATTTTAAAATTATTTCTTATTCAAGCATATTTGCTATACACAATGTTTATTTCATGCAGAAGGCAAATGTACTTAACATATATTAATTTTCTGTTCCTCTTATTTCTCCCTTCCCATTCTACAAAAGATCTGTCTACTTGATTCCTATTGCTTATTTTTAAAAAATTATTTATTTATTTATTTTGAAGAGAATAAAACCAAATGAGACAAAGCAAAATGGAGTCAGTCAAAACAAAAGGATGGATGTAGTACATGACTTAAAAACAAAATACAAGGTGATCAACAATGACTACCACAATGCCTCTTGTTATCTTTAAAAGAATTGCCCATATTATCAGGCATAGTAAAATTGAACAAAACAGTACAGAACAAAACCAATAAAAACAAAACATTGGAGACATTATAGGGCTTCAAAAGAAGATAATAGTCAAACCAGAATGGGTATCACAGTGAATCTTATTGTCTTTATAATAGTTGCCTGTACCCTCAGACCTGATACTATCAAACAAAACAGATTCAAATAAAATCAGTCAAAACATGACAGTGATAAAAAAACAGATTTGAATAACATCAGTCAAGACAAGACAGTGAAAGCAATACAGGGCTTTAAATTAAGTTAATAGGAAATAATAAATTGTTACCGTAGTATATCCTGCTATCTTTAGAATACCTGTCCATGCCATTAAATCTAGAACAAGTAGACAAACTGGAATGGAATAAAACCAAATGAAACAGAGCAATGAAGACAATATGGGTTTCAAATAATGATACAAGGTTAACAATAGCCACTGCCTTCCCTCTTTAGACAGTTCCTCCTCTTTCACTTTAACAGGGTGCACTGTATGTTTTGTATGCCACCAACTCCTTTAGTTTTTAAATTAGGGAGGCAATCTGCTATTTACCTAAGTGATTCTGAACCTTTTTACTCTGAGCACTATTTCAAGTTGTATCCATTGACCTATAAGAGCCTCAAGGTTTTCCTTTCTTCTAGCTGAGTAGTTATCCTTTGTATAAAAATGTCATGTCTTTCCAACCAATCTGCAGCTGATGGCAAGCTATCCCCCCCCCCCATCTTTTTCTGGTTCTCTGTCACATAGAGCATTGTTTTCTCATCTTTGACTTTCAGTCTATAAACCCTCTTTAAGGTTAATTATATTTCTTATATAGAGCATCTTGATGGGCCCTATCTCCTGATCCATTCTGCCTGTGTTTCTTTTTATTGGTGTATCAAGGTCATCCACATTAGTGATTATGGCCAACATTCTCTGCCTCATCTCTGCCATGCTATTTTTTTGCCATTGGTTGTCTACTTTCCCCCTTCATTTCACTGTCTTCTCCATTCAGTCAGCCCCATTCAGTCTGCTGCTGTTCCTGAAACCATGGTCTTTTTTTCTCTCTCGCTAGAATGTCCTCCAGTATTTTTTGTAGGGTTGGTTTGGTGGTAGTGAACTCCCCCAGTTCCTCTTTGTCATGGAGGTATTTTGTTTCTCCATTAATTCTAAGGGATAATTTTTCAGGGTACATCAATCTGGGTTGGGGGTTATTTTCTTTCAGGACTTGGCATACTTTGTTCTAAACTCTTCTTGATTTGATGGTTTGTGTCAGAAAGTCTGTCATGATTCTTATGGGTTTGCCTTTATAGGTGATCTGCTTCTTTTGTCTGACAACTTTTAATATTCTGTTCTTGTGTTGAATTTCTGGGATCTTGATTATTATATATCTGGGTATAGATTGATTTTGGTTATAGCTGACTGGAGTTCTGTGTGCCTCATTTATCTAAATATCATTTGCTTTTCCTATGCTTGGGAAGTTTTCTTTAATTATTTCTATGAATAGCCTTTGTATTCATTTGTGTTTACCCCTGCTTCTTCACTCACATTTTTTATTCTTAAGTTACAGAGCCTCTTGTCATCTTCTAGCTTTTGTCTTGTTACTTCCTGGTTCCTTGTTATTTTTAAGAGATCTTTCCTTTTGCAACACACACTGCAACCTGTGTTCAAGGTTTGATAGTCTAAACTAGTTTCTTTCAAGCAGTTTTGTCATCTTTCAATGGAGTTGTTAATTTCCTGATAATCTCTTTGAATCTGTTTCATGTATTCTAAGTTTTTTATATTCCTCATTGAAGGTTTCCCTCCTTTTTCTATGATCCTCTGTTCTTTCATCTATGTCTTCTTTAGAGGTGCTTAGCAATTCTTTTATGTTTCTTATATTTTCCTTTAGTTACAATAGTATTTCTAAGTTCTTTTATAGTTTCATGAAGTTGTTTCTTTATCTGAGTTGTTGTTACTTCAGAAACTGCAGCTATGTGACTCTCAAACTCTTTGGTGTTCACATCTCCTGGACCAGGCCTGTTTGGGTTGAAGACCAGAGACTACCTTTTGCATCTTCCTCTTGTCATGTTCCCGGTTTCTTACTGACAAGTGGGTAGTGGAGTCCCCAGCATGTCCTGTATTGGTTATAATTACTCTGAAGTGTGTTGTCTAGGGATTTCTGATGTTTGCTATGTTTTCCAATCTGCTGGTAACTACTGGAGTGTAAGCAGGGGTGGGGCAGGTTGGTCCCTCCCTCCTGAGCTGGTTAAATCACAGTCTTCACTAAGTTTGTGTGGGTTGGGTAGGTGGGGTTGGCTAGGGATAGTGTTAGGGAAACCTCGGCACTGGCTATTGGACCACACACAGATGTGGGATTTAGTCCAAGCAATTTTTAAGTCTGCTCTGCAGTAGGAGTGGTTGAATAAAGCCCGCAGCAGTTCTGGTTCCAGGTTTATCCTGCCTGACTCCAAAATGGCACCTGACCAATCACCCACTTCTGTAGGAGGACTGTGTCCCTCACACTCACTGCCAGCCAGTGCAGTTTTCCGGTCCACTGCACCCCTCCACCACTGCATCTCCCTGCTGAGATCTTAAGGTTTGGCAGCCATCAGTTTCATGGTGACAATGTGTCTCCAGATTCCAGTGGCACTTGCACAGTGGGACCAGCTCCAGTGAAAATGCCTCTGGCTACTGCCTTCTGTTTAAGTTTTTCTTTTTTTTTCATTCTTTTTGTAAATTCTCTCTGTGGGCTTCAACTGTCACTTTAGTGTCTTCCTTCTATTTCTTTCCTTCTGATCTTCTCCAGAATGCTATATTCCAGCATCTGGGCTGTTTCTCTCAGAGAGGCTATTTACTCTGCTGTTTACTGTTATGTCATCTTCCTAGCCAACTATTTATTTATTTATTTATTTATTTATTGAGACAAGGTTTTGCTTGGTAGTTCAAATTCACCTTGAACTTACTATGTATCCCAGGCTGGCCTTGAATTTTTAGAGATCCTCTTGCCTCTGCCTCCTGAGTGCTCAGGTCACAGGCATGTACCACCATGCATGTTTTGTCTTTAAATTTATTTATATTTTAGGTTTCTCACATGAGCAAAGTTAAACTTTTGTGCTTGATTTATTTCACCTAGTATTATGGTCTCAAGGTTTATCCATTTTCCCATAATGAATAGTAACATAACATATAATAGCTAAATCTTGGATACAGCCTATATATCCATTAACTGATGATTAGATAAAGAACATATGGTATTTATACATAATAGAGTATAATATATATATATATATATATATATATATATATATAACAATATATAATATATTGTTACCACCTAGCATAAAGAAGGATAAGTCTTGAGTCCTTTTTGAATGTTTTTGTATGGGAACAGGACTTAGAATCAGAGTACATCACACATCTTATTGGCACATACATACCAAAGCATGGAGTCATGAACTTGTATGGGTACTGCGACTTGGGGTCTGCAGAGTCCAGCACAGGAAACAAAAGACAGTATTAGAGAAGCACTTATTACGAGTCAAAGTCAGGGAGTTTTCTCTGTTTGCTAGCACTCACCACAAACAGCAAGCAAAAGGAAGCCCTTAGTCATTTCCTGCAGCCTTTGGAGGCTGAGGAGTACCAGAAGACTTGGTTAAATACCAAAGAATAGCAAGCTTCAGGAGGGAACTGTCCAACAACACCCAGATTTTCTCCTTGTTTGTATTTCCTCTAGCAGAAAAATAATTGCCTGAGGTCACCATATTTCTAGACCAGGAGTTAGAACAAAATGTATTCTTTTTGGAAGGTAAACTGACTGTAAAGCCATTCCATGTGGCCCTACTATGGAAGTGCTGTATAGCTCTTGTCCTTATCATGTGAACTTGAGACAAATCAGGGTAGGTGCTAGAAACATGCAGACTTTCCAGGAAAGGCCTGTTTTCAGGATTTATTAAGGATGAGGGATATGAAGCACAAAAAAGATGAGAAATCAAGACTTTTTATATGACAAAATTGACAGAACAAGAATTGGCCGTTTTAGTTTTGTTCTGTAAGATTGTGTCTATCTTGCAAAAGGATCCCATTGGAAGGTAGATAACTCATACTCCAAAAGAAATATAGTTGAGAAACATGCAGAAAAGAAAAAACACACTTTAGGTCATAGTCAAGAGACTTGGCTGGAGAAAGAATGCTTGAGCATTCAGGGTTACCTATAGAGCCAGAAGAGCCAGAACTACTTGTGATTTTCCCTAGAAACTATGTTCAAGGTAAGATAAGGTGGAAAGTGACTGGCATAAAATCATAAAACCAAGAGGGAAAATAATTCACTGTTCAGTCTGATAATGCCAGCTGGGCATCAATGGATCCTGGTGTAAGGGCACAATTATAAAAATAGTAAAGGTACGGTTATAGAATAGCAAACTTATAGACATATTACAGTAAGTTAAAAATCAAATAATAGCCTCTGCTTATGCTCCTGCTACACGTCACATGAGCATACTGCTAAATTCAGTCATCCTTGACTGTCTGAGTTCAGCTGCTTTTTTTCTGGTAATGTGATGGGTCAATTTGACTATGTCCAGCTTGTGTTTTCCTTAGTTAAAAGAATATTATATATTGTTACCACCTAGCTTCAAGGACTTTGCTTGGGACAAAGTATCCCAGTAGAGGACACCTTTAACTTTGCTTGCTTGACTCAAATCGCCTTCCCTCATCCCTAGGATGTTCTTACATTATGATAAACAATTCCTTTTAAGTAAATATGTTTATAATTAGCTTGCCTGACAATATGTGATTTAATTTAATTTGTGTAACTCATTATGTTATAACCTGTCATCTTACTTGTACTTCCTGCTTGCAAACTATTTAAACTGAATGCAAAGCTGACTTGTGGCTGGTGATTTGAACTTGGTCCCACCAACCTGCTAGCATAATACATAAGTTGCCTTCTAGGTTCCTTGGTGCAAAGAGTCTTCCATTTGGTTTGATTTTGCTTTTCCACAACACTAGAACCAGGAAATAGCTGAGGAACTAGGTAGGACATAGGAGTGCCCTTCACCCAGGGAAGAGGATCTGCCTCCTCTCTCACTCTCAGATCCCTTAAGGGTCCAGTACTAATCTTAGCTTCAGATGGTCTGTGTGATTCTCACTCCTAGGAGGAATAGATTCCCAGGATCTGTCTCTTTTCTTACCTGTTCTGTTCAGAAATGTCTGTGCATAGTCTGGATCGTAGATAAAGAAAAATGCCTGAAAGGGTCCAATCCAGCAAGGAAAAGCACAAGGGTATTTTTCAACAAGCTCCTCAAGCTTCTCCATTTTATCTTCCTGAAGAAGCTGCAGTGACAAAAGTAAAAGAAGTTAGAGAACCAGCCAATCTGGACTTGTCTTATAGACAAGTTGGGTTCAGTATCTTACAAGGTGAAGGAGCAAAAGCATCTGGTCCATTTCTGGGAGTGGGAAAGCCTACTTGAGGATTTATAAGACAGGAGAATAATGTCCTAAGCAATATTAACATATTTATTTTTTCAATCTAAATATATGCTGTAATCCCAGCCAACCTACTGTCAAGTGACATATACTGTGAACTGTTTTCCCAAAGGAGGGTGAAGTGAGCTGAATCTTACTCTGTGTGTCAATTGTCAGCATTACTCATCCAAAAAAAGGGGTGAGATCTGGAGACTGCAGATTTCTTTCCTCTACAAGAAACTGTTAGAAGATAGAACAGGGCCACCACCCAGCTTACCATTCCTTTTTTCTTTTCTTCTAATAGCCATTAGTGATTCCTTTTCATGACTCCATAGTAAATAATTGCTTTGTTCTAAAAAACCTGCCAGCTCCAACTACAAAGAAAGTCCAATCACTGCTCCCTACAGTATCAGATTTATTTATACAAATACATGAAGCTTGAAGCAAACTCATATACCAAATTGTCTGCTTCCAACATTTAAAACGCACAGTGCAAATACTACCACCATCAGTGAAGAACTTTCTGCTTTTATCAGATTACTGAAGGTTCATTTAAATAGTTAAAAGTTAATGAAAGCCAGATTAATTTATATGTATTTCTTGTATTAAGTAGGAGGCAGCTTCGTGTGTGTGCTTGGGGCTACCTATGTGCAGTTGCAATTGAACTTGATTATGGGTGTTCCATCTGTAAGGGAGTCTTAAGGCTGGCATGTGCTCTCTGATTCTGTTCTGATGTTCAGAAGAGGTGGTGAACTCTGGTTTCCAACTTCCTGCACTATCAACTAGTCACTTGAACACATGATGTATTCTCTGGATAGTTTAAGGTCACTGAAAGCCTTGACTCTTGAAATGTAGCCCTCAAATTGACATCATCTATTTTGCTTTTGCCTATATTCTCATAATTGAATGAGTAACAAAATGCACACTGTCATCTAAGATAATGTGAATATTTATTTACAAACAATAAATAAGTATGTATAGAGACACAGAGAAATACAGAAAAATCAAGATCTTTGCCTTCAGAGAAAGTATAACCTAAGAGAAGGTTTTAGATCAAAAGCTGTCATAGATACCCCTTTGCCACATGAATGCATTGTTATATTTTAGTTGCTTCTGACCAGATTAAAAACTAGAAAGCTATTGTGGACCTTGTAATATACTTGATTTATAGTTCTTTGGGCCCCACTGTGGAATCTAAATATATCTGAAAACAGGTATTATATATATATATATATAATTACAATCCCCTCATTTTGCAGATGACAAAACTGAGCTTTAGAGACTAGGTTAAGTAATTTATCCAAGGTTGTACAGCTGGAAACTAGTAGTAAGGATTCAAGCTCAGATTTAACCCTGAAATTTATGGTTAGATGGACAGAATTTTCTTGCATTACATCCAAGTATACACACACATTCATGCACAAATATAAAAAAATTTACATATATAAACTAGATCTCCTACACTGACTGAGAGTAATCGATCTGTTGAATAAATGTCAAACTCCTGGCCTATTCTATGTAGTGAAAAGATCTTTGAATGAACGAACTTATTTAGCACCTAATATACAAGGCATATACTACATAGCAATGGCTCAGTTAACAATGGACTGCATATATAACAGTAATGTCATGGATTATATCACTTAGCAATATTATAGCTATCTTAGTTTGTATAAATATGCTCTAAGATATTTGCATAATACTTGTATTTCTTTAAAATAAAATTTTAAAAAAGCAAATAGCTCAGAGTAATGATTTAAATTTTTTGAGTTTGTCCAGGAGAGAGCTCTGGTAAACTAGGGACTTGCATAGATGCATCACAGGAGAGCTTGGTTGCTGAAAAGATTAGAGTGAAAAGGAAGGTGAATACTTTGGAATGGGATAACAGGCAAAATGCTTTGAGGGAAAATGAGGAACCAGAAAGGTTCCACGTTTTGCACTCTTGCAACTGTAAATGTGAAAGGCTTTGCTTTGAGAAGAGCACCCCAGGGAATGCTGTTGGAGAAGGTCACTGTGATACTCAGCTAATTGTGTCCCTTTGAGTAAGGACTGCCCAAATAAACTGTTCAGTATAGCTCTGGATATGGCCAAGGGGATCTGCTGAAGATTTGCTGGAATTTATTGAGTATAAGTGACAACCAATGGTCTTGCAGCCTAAATGGTATAAAAAGGGAACCAAGAAGGAAGTCTTGCTTCTTTTACTATGGAAGGGCTCCAGTCTTCATCTTTACCTTGGACATCATCTGATTTCCAGCACAGACTAGCCTTTCATCCCAGACCCTGTGACCTGATACATGGGACACTACAGTGAGTTTCAGGCTTTTGACTGAATCCTTTGGATTTCCAGCATGCAGACAGACCTTGTGCATCTTCTACATCTGGCTCTGTAAGCAACCATTGTAAGGCAATCTTGTAAATTTCTTGTACATTTGCATATCTTCCATTAAATCTATTTCTCTAGTAAGCACTGACTGACACAGATTTTAATACTAGAAATAGGGTGATTCTGGAGAAACAGAATTGTACAGGTGAAATTCTTTAATGGCTTTGGAGGATTCCTGTGGTTGGCTCTCTAATTTCATGAAACTAAAAGCACCATAGTCTCTCCTAATACAGTGGTGAATACTGATAGTCCTTGGTGTGAACTGTTTAAAGTGATAAGCAGTGTAGACCCATTTGATTATCCTAATTCACCATTTGTGAAATATAAAGAATTTAGTGACTCCATATGTGAAATGTTTGACTCTTTTGGCAGAGTGGGATATATGATGATGTTGACTGATTGCTCTTACAATTGCTAGAGAACCTAGACAGAAGACAATGAGTTCAAAATAGCCATGGAAAAATAAGGAACTCAAAGATTCAAAATTCCAGTTCCAGACACACATAAAAGATTTAGAATTTTCGAATGTCCTCCTTTAGCTGTAGGACTGAGATTATAGAAACCCAAACATAGGTCCTCATAATTCAGCTGGTTGAAATACAGCATAAGTTTAATGCTCAGTCCTTGAAAGTCTGACATAAAGGTGAGAGCAATGATTAGAAAAGAATGGGATCCCATAAAGTAGGATGGAGATTTTTAGGAGGCTCCTGATGAGACTGAGGATGTTGAGTTCCTAAGCTCTAATAAGATTATTTTGACAGAAGAGATTTCCTCACCCACCATAATGAAGGCATCCCTATCCCCACCCACTGTGATGTTGACCTCTTCTAGTATACCTGAGGAAACTAATCCTGCGTTGACCATCTGTGTAACGTTGACACTCCTCAGGACTGATCCCATCACCCACTTTTGGCTCTAATTCTACAGCCAGGTTCAAATTGCAGATGGCTCCTAAGGGTGAGGTGCATAGTGTCACACAAGAGTAGGTCCTCCATCTCCCAAAGAGCTCCTTAAGTTTTACAACTTTTATAATCAAAGGCCTGATAAGCAAGTGTGGTCATGGACTTTATGAGTGTGGGATAGTGGTGGCAAAAATATATATCTGTATCAGTTTGTTGATATGGGTCCATTGAGCAGAGATTTTGAATTTAATTTTGTGACTCATGGAATAAAGAAAGGTGTTAACAATTTTTTTTGGTTGGCTGACAGAAATATGGATCAAAAGATGGCCCACTTTGAAAGAGTTAGGGATATTTTGTTGTAGTCAGGGGTTGTGCAGAGAACAATTAGAATCAGGACATGGAGTTTATAATATTGCATTATGATGATTACTCAGAGTTAACACAAGAAAATTCAAGAAATCTATCCACAACACTAAAGACACAGGACATTTAGCCAAGGGCCTGAATCCCACAGTAATGTCCCACATGAATCCAGATGAAGATCCAGAGCTCATGACAATGCCTTCCATGAATCCAACTAGAAGTCCAGAGCCCACAAGAAGGTCTCACACCAGTCTCTTTTACAGGTCTGTGCTAAAAGGCCCAAAGGCCAGCAGTGGAAGCTAGGAAGTCTATGCCAGCAGAGTGAAGGAGCTGTGCTGGTAGGTTGAGGGTTCTACGTTGGAGCCGAGAAATCACACTCACAACAAAAAACCAGGGCTGTCCTGAAAAGCACCACAGCTATCCTCAGAGATATAAAAGCCCAGAACTCCTCTGATAGCAAGCAAAGTTGAGTACATGCCAGGAAGCCAACATGAAGAGTCCACCCTGTAAACCAAGCGGCACATGTCTTCCTCTGGAGCCAGGAAGTAATGCTGGATGTGAGGACCAGAGCTCCTCCAGGAGAACCTAATGGGTCAAGCAGCAACATGTAGGAGAACCTACAAGGCCTCAATGCCTCAATGCACCTCCCTTCTCCTTCTCCATGTCTCCATTTATGCTGGCAACTTTCTTCAGGTGAAACATCTACACTCAGTACCATGGTGATTTTTTAATTCTACTGGTGTTAAGTTTTTAATCTATAATCTATAACAATATTCCATGGCTTACAACAGATAAGGAGATTCAGAAGCTTAGGGAAAAAAGAGCACTGGAGTTGATTTGTTATGTCAAACCTAATTTGACACACTAGGATGATTCAGCAAATACATGCTTTTCTAGCATCTTGAGAAACAGATTTGTGAGGGTAGCACTACCATTCCTAAGAGCCTTATATTGTTCTTCTCTGTATGAAGACTTTACATAGGGGACTGCAGCTACTTTATTAGGAAATTTGAGAGCAATGGGTTTGATTAGAAATCATAGTAGCAGGGGTCAGGTGGCAGTACATGATCACCAATGGCAGGGTGCATGGACTTTCCATAATGGACAGCGGAGCTAGAACAATAATCAGAAGGATCTGACACATGTAGACCTATGGCACTGGCAGATTACCAATGACGTTTCCAAAAGTGATATAGATGGGCAGCCTACAAAATTTTTAC